TTCAGCACCCTTTATGCATGGCAGCCAGCAAAAGCCTCGCCGGCTTCAAGCTGCCAGGGAAGAGGGGTGGCCACTGTGCTGAGGAAGTGCCCGGCCAGCCTCTGAGATATCAAGGAGAGCTTCCTGGAGGAGGCACAGCAGGAAAAGAGTGAGCACGGTGTTTCAGGAGGAAGCAGCAGGTGCAAAGGCCAGGAGAGGAGCGGGAGGGAGCACTGAAGGACTGAGCTACCGAGGGGTGCTCAGGACAAGATGGTGAAGTGTGGGAGCCCCACCAAAGCTCTGCCTGCTGGCCTGGAGCCTGAGGCTCTGGAGTCAGATGAGGTAAAGGCCTGAAAGTCCACCTGCTTGTTAGAGTTTTCCCCTTCACAGGAAATCATGAAGAGAGCAGGGTAACTAAGAGCAGTGCTACACAGGGATCTGTCTCTGTCCCCTTAGTGCTACTGTCATAATACCAGCTGGGCAAGGTGATGCACACCTGTGATCCTAGCACTCAGGAGGCTGAGGCAGGAGGATCACTCCAGTTAAAGGCCAGCCTGGGATACATAGTGAGTTCAAGGCCAGCCTGAACTATGGGGTGAGACCCTGTCTCAAAACAAGCAAAATAAAAACATCCAAAAAACCTTAGACTGCGTAATTTATAGACAACAGAAATATATTGCTCATAGTTCTGACTGCATCTGCAAGGCATCTTCTCTAGAGCAGAAGATACAAACAAACACCATCAGCCTTCAGAAGGGCACTGATTCATGGGGGAGGAAACTGCATGACCTGATCATCCGCTAAAGGCCCCAGCTCCTAATACTGTCACTGGGGGGCTGGCTTCTCACAGATCAACACTGTGGGGAGATGCATTCCGACCACGAACAGTGCCCACACCTCACAGTTACACCACCCTAGCATCAGAGTTCTGTGGCCCTCAGAGTTCCAACAAACATCATTTTGGGACTGGAGGACGAAGGTGTGGCTCAGAGGTACAGCTTTTGCCAAGCATGCACCAGGCTCCAGGTTCAGTACCCAGAACTGTGAGTGCGCGCGCGCACACACACATATAAATGCAGACTGCAATTCAATCTATAAAACAACCAGCTATGCAGTGTTAGGTGCAATTCTTGTGCTTCACAAAAACTCTTAAAAGTAAGTACTTTCTTGCAGGGTGAGGTGGAGCATGCCTGTAATCCCAGCACCCGGGAGGCTGAGGCAGGAGGATCGCTGTGAGTTTGAGACCAGCCTGGGCTACATAGTGAGTTCCAGGTCAGTCTTAACTACATAGTGAGACACTGCCTCAAAAAACCCAAAAAATAAATAAATAAATAAATTTTAAAAAGTAAGTACTTTCTTAATGTTGTTGCTTTTTGTTTTTGTTTTTGTAGTACTTGGGATTTCGAACTCAGGAGTTTGCACTTGTGCTCCACTGAGCTAAATCCCGGCCCTGTTGTTTTATTGTTATTGATTTGGGTTTTTTCTTGTATGTGATTCTAATGCAGTGCATATTTATTTTCGTGTATGACTGTGACAATTAGGAAAATAGAAAAGGAAGTAGTCTTCAGGCAAATGGAAATGATCAACACTATTTTTTTTGTTTTGTTTTGTTTTTTGAGACAGGGTCTCACTATGTAGTTGAGACTGCCCTGGAACTCACTATGTAGCCCAAGCTGGTCTGGAACTCACACAGATCCTCCTGCCTCAGCCTCCCAAGTGTTGGGATTACAGGAGTGCGCCACCACGCCTGGCTGATCAAGACTATTATATAGCCAACTTTGAGGTAGACTACAATGGATAGACTTGCTGTGCTGCCCCTCAGAGGTTAAGTGTCTGCACCAGATGAGGATGCCCTAGCAGGATTTCCAGTCTTCTCTGCTGCCTATATTCTTCTAATTTCTTCTGGGTGGAAATAGGGCATTCCAGAAATTGTTGCTTTTGAGACAGGATCCACTATATCCTGTATATAATTCATGATGGCATTGAACTCTGTAGCCAGGCTGGCCTCGAACCTGCACCAATCCTCCTGCTTCAGCCTCCCAAATGCTGGGATTACAGATGTGCAACCCCATACCTGGTCATCAGCTCTGCAGTTTTTCTTTCTGTCTCTTTCCCTCTTCTTTCTTTCTTTCTCTCTCTCTCCCCCTCTCTTTCTTTCTTTCTTTCCCCCCTTCCTTTCTTTTCTTCTTTTCTTTTTTTTCAGTGCTGGTGATCAAACTCAGAACCTCGCACTTGCTAGGCAGGTATGGCACCACTGAGCTACATACCTGGCCCAACCTCTGCATTTTTAAATAATTCAATTTATATAATATTCACTCAATAAAATACAACCTTTTCCTAGCCCTAATTGACTTTTCATCTCTATAAATTTGTTTATTCTAGACATCTCACATATGTGGAGTTGAACAATATGTGATATTTTG